ATCTCCATAACATAAAAGTGCAAGGTGAAGCACCAAGTACTGATGTAGAAGATGCAGCAAGTTACCCAGAAGATTTAACTAAGTTAATTGATGAAGGTGACTACATTAAACAACAGATTTTCAATTTAGAAAGGATTATATTAGAAGAAGATGCCATCTAGAACTTTCATAGCTAGAGAGGAGAAGTCAATGCCTGGCTTCAAATCTTCAAAGGACAGGCTGACTCTCTTCTTAGGGGCTAACACAGCTGGTGATTGTAAGTGGAAGTCAGTGCTCATTTACCATTACAAAAATCTTAGAGTCCCTAAGAATTATGCTAAAAGGAATGAAACTGGATCTATATCTCTCACCATGTACAAAAATTAATTCAAGATGGATTAAAGACTTAAGCGTAAGACTTGAAACAATTATTAATATCTTAAGCTAGTGAACCTCACAGAATTCTTACCTGGCTCTATTAGCTCCTTCCCTCCAAGGACTTAGAGTGTTGTCAAATCCCGACTAATGCTATAAGTCATTTAATAAAATAAATAACCATTCATGTTGTTAAAATCTCTGTGTAAAATGTAAATAGAAGTATATTTCTTAACCTAATAAAAATATCTATCTCAAATCAATAGTTAGACGCTAGAGGCATTCCTGTTAAAGTTGAGAATAAGACAAAGAAGTTTATTATTGTTCAAGATAATAAAATAATAAATATTGCAAAGAAAGAGAAAAAATTATGGTTATATATTAATACAATAAGGTTATATAATTGTCTACCAAAAATTTGAATAAATAAGCTGAAAATAAAAAGCTATTAAGAAAGTTCAGTGAGGTAGGCAGTTAAAAATTTAACAAAAAAAATCAATATCTTTCCTATATAGGAACAATAACCATTTAGAGATAGAAAGGAAGAGATAATTTATTCCAGTAAAAAAATTTTCATAAAAACTGGAAAAAAGAAATGAATAAATTTAATGCAATTTCCATGAAAATTCTAGCTTTTGTTGACTTGGAAAGTTTGCTAAACTTATATGGAGAACTAAATATTTAAGTATAGCTAGAAAATTCTGAGAAAGTATAAGTAACAAAGAGGGACTTGCCATGTGAGACATTAAAATGCTTTCTAAAACTCCAATAAAAAATTTAGTGATTTTTGCTTCCAAAATTGCTAGACTGATCAATGAAATAGAAGAAAAACACCAAAAATAGATCCAAATGTGTGTAAGAATTTAATATATGGCATACACGTTGGGAAATCAGTGCAACAAATACAGATTATTCAATGAATGGTATTGCTGCAGATAATTTTTGAAAAGTTGTATTTCTACCTCACATTTTATATTGGATAAACTTCATGTGGATCTAAATGAAATAAATAATCACTTATTGTATTAAAAATTCCTAGTACAATACAAATAGAAACAACTAAAGAAGTGCTAAAGATATAGGTAAATGTCAGTATTACTCAGGCTAATAATGCCTTGTTTAAAGTTAACATCAAACCCAGAAACCGTGAAGAATATTTAAAAATTGTAGCCAAACAAGCAACTTTATCACCCCACCTAAATAAGGAAAATAAGGAAAAAAGTTATGTGGAAAGATGTTTTCCTTATAGTGCAAAGCATTCATGTAAATCAAGAAGAAAAAAGACAAACATCTCTGAAAAACATTTTCTCCCATCTTTCTTTCTCAAAGAAAAATGGGTTAAGAAAGCAAAAATCCCATTCATATTAGAAGTCAGTTGGTCAGATGAAAAACATTCAGCCTTCCAATAATTAAAGAAATGCAAATTCACACAAAAATACCATTTTTATTTTTGGATTGACATATATTAAAGAGAATAAATTCACTGTCATTGAGTGGGTTGGGAACTAAAATTGTGCCCAGAAATTCTACTTCTAAGATTTTATCCTAGGGAAGTTATAGGAAAAGTGAACAAAGATAGTTGCACAAAATTATAGTGTGGTTTATAATAGTGAAAAATTCAATACAACCTAAGTGCTATGAATGAGAAACTGATTGAATAAAAGTTGGAAAGTTCATGAATTGGAATTCTAGACAGACATTAAAAATACACATGTAAATCTATATTTAGTTGTATGAACAATATTCCCAATATATTCATGCCAGAACAGCAGAGTTCAATGAGATAAAATGAAACAATGTGTATCTGTACATAGAAAAACTCTGATAGTATACACTCAAATTTCAATAACAGTTATTTCGGGGTAGGTTGTGTGTAATATCATTCCAATTATTCATTTCTATATTATCTGCATCTTTTGCAACAATCATTATAATCAGAAAAAGAAAAACAAGACAGTTATGAAGGAGAGCATGAGAACAATGAGAAGAAAAGAAAGGGTGAAGAGGAGAAAACCATTTTCTGGAAGTGTTACTCTTGCTTCAGGTACTTTTTTCTCTTTGGAGGCTACATTTTAAAAACTTACTTCCCTTTCAATTTTCTCCTTTTCTCTTACTCCAACTGGAGAGGCTCTTAAACCATGTATATTTAAGCCAAAATTTTATAATTTAGGAAAAAAATACAACAAATCAATCCATGATGTTGAGTTTTGCCTAAGGAGAAAATACAGTTGAATAGGATTACCAGCCACACAACACACCTGTACTCAAGGCAGGCCAGAGTATACACAACACCTTGAACTGTATGTTGTTCTATAATACTTTATCAAAATCTTTCCAGGCCGGGTGCGGTGGCTCACGCCTATAATCCTAGCACTCTGGGAGGCCGAGGTGGGTGGTATCGCTCAAGGTCAGGAGTTCGAGACCAGCCTGAGCAAGAGCGAGACCCTGTCTCTACTAAAAATAGAAAGAAATTATCTGGACAACTAAAAATTAGCTGGGCATGGTGGCACATGCCTGTAGTCCCAGCTACTCAGGAGGCTGAGGCAGGAGGATCCCTTGAGCCCAGGAGTTTGAGGTTGCTATGAGCTAGGCTGCCGCCACGGCACTCTAGCCAGGGCATCAGAGCCAGACTCTGCCTCAAAAAAAAAAAAAAAAACCTTTCCAAATGGGAAGGTTAAGAAGGACACAGAATCCTTTTGTTTTATTCTTTTAGGTACCGTAAGTCATACATTTTTTTGCCTCTTGCAGAATAGGTTTCATTCAGTTGAATTTTAATGTTATGCCTTCAGCTAAAAGTGTAGACCTTTTTCATTCAGTCATTCAACAAATATTTGTTGAAGCCTACATTGTGCCAGGCACATTTCTTGATATTGGGAAACTATCAGTGTCCAGCTTTGCTGGAACTTGTTTTCTATTCCTCTAAGAAATAGCCATATAAAAGCAGCTGTTGTTGAGGCTGTCTGTTATATGATTCAGTATCCCGTAGAGAAGTTCCTTTAAGACTTAAGAACTAGAAAAGTGGTTAAAGAATTCACATACAATTTACTCACGAACAAAGGAAAATTTATTTCTCTTTTTTGTTTGTACTGCCAGGAGGCTTAATCTATTTTTAGGCCAACTTGAATAACTGTGTAAGATATTGCATCCATCCAATACCAATACTAACCTTTCCTGCCTTTCAGAACTCCTTATCTTCCTATTTCATCTATATTTTCATTGGCCTTGCTTTTTAAAAATTCAAATTATTTTATTTTATTGCAGTCTAATGTATTTGTAAACTGCTTCAAATCTCAAATCCCTTGTGGTGTGTCAACCTAAATAACAAACAGAGAGATATAGTCTCTAAAAGAAAAGATATTTTGGGGGGAACAGAGCATTGCCAGGGAATGCCATAGCAAACTATGTGTGTATTCAAGGAGGGAAAGGAAGACAAAGATCTTTAAAGGAAAAAATGGAAATTACATAATCGTTTTGAAATAATTATCCTTGGCTACACAGATCAATAACAAGGGTGATGCCAGCAACAGGCAGTTGCTGGGCAGATGTCCTTGCAGAAATATTTTTGGTGTAAGGTTGTGATGGCCTTTGTGCAAGATTGTGGTTTTTGCAGTCTTTTTGATAGCTTTTGTTATCAGGTATACAAGCTTGAGAATCTTCTCTTCATGGCCCGCCCTGGCTTTATTTGTCAGATTTGGTTTTGTTTGTTTTGTTTTTAACATTAGTGACTTCATTTTGATTCTGACAACTTTCGCAGAAACTAGAGGAACTAGATAAAAAACATCACGAAGAAACAGACAAATCCAAAATGTGGTGCATTCTTCAAAACAACTGACATAGGCTCTTCTAAAAGCCAAAATTAAGAAAACCTAAAAGGTGGAGGGAACTGTTCTAGTTTGAGAAATTAAAACAAACAAACAGGCCGGGCACGGTGGTTCACACCTGTAATCCTACCACTCTGGGAGGCCAATGCTGGAGGATCATTTGAGCTCAGGAGTTTGAGACCAGCGTGAGCAAGAGAGACCCGTCTCTACTAAAAATAGAAAGAAATTAGCCAAACAACTAAAAATAGAAAAAATTAGCTGGGCATGGTGGTTCATGCCTATAGCCCCAGCTACCCGGGAGGCTGAGGCAGGAGGATGGCTTGAGCCCAGGAGTTTGAGGTTGCTGTGAGCTACGCTGACACCATGGCACTCTAGCCTAGTCTGTCTCAAAAAAAATAAAATAATAATAAAAAAAATAAACAAAAAAACCCAAACTTTATACCAACTGAATGTAGTGACTCCTGATTGGATCCTGGCTCAAAAGAAAATATCTGCTTATAAAAAAAGATTGAGAATAACTGAGACCTTTTTGGGGTAAGCAATGTCATACTCTACATTTTGTTTTTTTAATTTTATCTTTTAATTGACAAATAATAATTGCACATATGCATGTGGTACATAGTGATATTTCCATACATAACAATGTATAGTGATCAGATCATGTTATTATTTTTGCCACTGTTACTATGATATCACTAGAAAGCTGGAATTATTCCTACTTCGGAGCACCCTGAACTCTCGCGATACTACAGCCAGGAGGCGCGCGAAACGCGGTGGGAGGGGCTGGAAGGAAAGCGACTGACTTCCGGCCAGGCCATCGTCTGGGTGGTGCGGTCGAGTCATCGCTGGGCTTCGCCGCTTCGATCTCTCATCCCTCCCCCCGCCCAGGCGCGGGGGGTCGACCAGCCAAGTGAGGTGGGAGGCGACTCAGACCTTTCCCTCCACTTTGTTTTGGCCAGCGCCCCGGCTACTCGTTCTGGGGCCCAGTCTGAGTGGCCGGGGCCTACATCGGCCCGCCGCTGGGCCTCATGAGGCATAGCCTGACCAAGCTGCTGGCAGCCTCAGGCAGGGACTCCCCAACCCGCAGCCAGAGCCCGGCGCCGGCCGCGACCTGCTCGCTGTCCGCGGACCTGATCCGGGCTGCGGCGGGGGAGAAGGAGACGGCAGTGGCCGGATCTCCTGGCCGCAAGCAGCCACACGCCGACGTGGGCGAGTTGGAGGCCGGGACGGGGAGCCGCGGCGGCGTGGCCGTGCGCGCGCCCTCGCCCGAGGAGATGGAGGAGGAGGCGGTCGCCGGCGTCCCTGGGGAAGAGACCGAGGATATGGACTTTTTGTCCGGGCTGGAACTGGCGGATCTTTTGGACCCCCGGCAACCGGACTGGCACCTGGAGCCCGGACTTAGCTCGCCTGGGCCTCTCTCCTCGTCCGGCGGAGGCTCGGATAGCGGCGGCCTGTGGAGAGGGGACGACGACGACGACGCCGCGGCTGCTGAGATGCAGCGCTTTTCCGACCTGCTGCAGAGGCTGTTAAACGGCATCGGAGGCTGCAGTAGCAGCAGTGACAATGGCTGCGGCGAAAAGAGGCGGAGAAAGTCCCCGGGAGGAGGCGGCGGTGGCGGCAGCGGCAACGACAACAACCAGGCGGCGACAAAGAGTCCCCGGAAGGCGGCGGCGGCCGCTGCCCGTCTTAATCGGCTGAAGAAGAAGGAGTACGTGATGGGGCTGGAGAGTCGAGTCCGGGGTCTGGCAGCCGAGAACCAGGAGCTGCGGGCCGAGAATCGGGAGCTGGGCAAACGCGTACAAGCACTGCAAGAGGAGAGTCGCTACCTACGGGCAGTCTTAGCCAACGAGACTGGACTGGCTCGCTTGCTGAGCCGGCTGAGCGGCGTGGGACTGCGGCTGACCACCTCGCTCTTCAGAGACTCGCCCGCCGGTGACCACGACTACGCGCTGCCGGTGGGAAAGCAGCAGCAGGACCTGCTAGAAGAGGACGACTCAGCGGGAGGAGTGTGTCTTCATGTGGACAAGGATAAGGTGTCGGTGGAGTTCTGCTCGGCGTGCGCCCGGAAGGCGTCGTCTTCTCTTAAAATGTAGGGTCAAGTAATCTGCTCTTTATCCGCGTTTACCCCCTTCAACTCCCTTACACCATGTAAAACACCTTAGTGGGACATCTTCACTGGACACATTTCAGAGGAGGAAAAAAGTAATATTGAATCTTTAAGTGTTTTAGCTAAAAGCATGAATGTGACACAGTAACCAACTCCTAATGATAACATGTGACTATTAAATCTCTCTGACAGTTTCTTTTTTAGGTGATTTCCTTCCTGCCAGGCTCCGTTGTAGGGGTTACAGAACAGTCGTTCCCGCCTCACAACCTGGTAAGGATCCATCTCTTCACGTAACGCTCATGCTCTGCTGCTTAGTCTACTTTAATGGGCAACATCTCAATTTGTGTGTGTGTGATTTTTTTTTTTTTTTTTGGAAGGTGGGAGGGGAATCTAATTTGGGCCCTGTCCACCCTGGAAACAGACTTGTGCTGGTCATAATGTTTTTAAGATGTTTCTTCTGGTTGAAATAGCTGTTAATGTGTCCCCTTATTCAGACTTACGTGTACCTAGCTCTTCTGTCCCCAGTGTGGACATGGCCTTGGATGACATCGGTTCCAACTGTACACTGAAACCTGCTTATAGAGATACAGTTTGGAGACAGTGAAACAGGTGAAGTTGAATGGAAGTTCCGAGTTGTACAAGGTGCAAATTGGAATTCCAGTTTTAGAGCAACTTTTCAGAGGTTGACATTAAGTATTTGGGACATGCACAAATGTGATAGTTATTTTGCTGGTGATGGTAGATATCTTAAATATTCAAGAATACGTTTTAGTTTTCAGTAGAAGATGCAGAAATACAATCTATCCAGAGTAACAAATTTTAATATCTCACCATTAGAGAAGTTGGAAATTAACATACGTGTCAGACTCCTGTGTTTTAGTTAATTGGAGGAAGAATAAGAATGGTTAATGAAATGTTTCTTTGAGGACCAGCACAGTGATTACCCCATCACTGAGAATGAATAAATTGTCGAACATCTTTATTTTTGTTGTATTAAAATTTTAGGTTAAATTTATGTATGTATGATTAGATATTGAAGGTTGTGAAATGTGAATGAAAACGTGTAAAGTGAGGTTTCACAAAGAATCTTACTCTGTATTTCAAAAGTATTTGTCCTATTTAAAAGTAATTTTTAAAATTGAGTGGTTCTGGCCACTGAAATGACATTGATTGACACTATTTTTCCAAAGATGGGATGTATTCTTCCCTTGAAGTACTCTATTATCTGCTGTCCAGTTATATAAATTGAGTTGTGGTGTCCTTCAGGGTAAGAGGCATTAAATTCTTTGTGAAACATCACTGTTTGATAAAGTATATACGTATTTAGCATCCTTGTTTTTCTTTGTGCTAAAGTGGATACAGCTGTTGGGGCAGAAGAGACGGGACCAGCTGCTGGCCACATTTCCTGCTTTATTTTAAAAGGTAGTATAAGAAATGAGGAAAAAGAGGTAATATCAGGGCTTCTGCTGTTTTTTATTTTTAAAATGTTCATAATTAAAAAGTTTTCCAGCAGTCCAAAGATGTAAGTTATCTTACACATAAAATGTTTTATTTTGTTGTTATTTGGTATGAAAATGGAATCCTTGTTCTTGCACAACTGTAAACGTTTTGTTGCTAGATAATATGATTTGAGACCTAAATTGGTCTCTGGTTTCCAGTGCATCACAGCATATTTTGTAAAATCATCTACTGCACTTAAGCATGAATGGGTAGTAGCCAAACTCTCAACCTGGAGTGATGAACCTGCTTATACCTAAGGGCAGGAGCAAGCCCCTCACAATGCAGCTGCATGGATTTTTAGTGCCTACTGAATTATATATATATATATATATATATATATTAAAAAAAAACCAAAAGTAGTTGGAAAGATTATTTGAAATGACTAATTTGTGCTATCTTTATGAAATATGTTAAATGTAGCTTTTTGAAACAGAAGCCTTGAATTGAAATTTAACTAATACTTGAACATTTTGTATATATTTCTTTGTATATAATGTTGTGCAGTACCAATGACAAAAATATGGTGTCGTACGTAATAAAATCAGGTTTGTTGATCTTTCAGTTATGGGCTCAAAGAATTTATTCATCTCTAACATGAAATTGAAAAATAATGGATGAAAATAGGAAAAATGATTGTTGTTAATAATGACTGTGGGTCTTAATCAAAAGGTTTTGGAAGCAGTAAGTTTGTTTTTCTAAAAATTATACTATTCCCTTGGAATATTTTCTTCCTTATGTCAGTGCTTTTCCTACATTATTGGAAGTTTGGGGCTGGGGAGAAAGTAGTCAAAACTTTCTGAATTGGGATGCTTTGAAATTCCAAGTGTAGATTTTAGAATGTCATTTTATAAATGGCAGTTTTTGGAATTACTTGATTAAGAAATTTTGAAAATGGAAAGATTAGTATGGCCTATTTTTAAAGCTGCTTTGTTAGGTTCCTTATGTTTTGATTGTCTTTTCTTAGTTTCCATTTCATTATTTTTTTTCTAGTTTTGGTGACTTAGTGATTTTGTCATTTTTTACATCAGCTTCATGGTCTTGTTTTTACATGGTAATTGCATGTATTTAGGACCTCTCTAACAGGGGCTTTAAATAAATTTGGTCATATTTATGTGTAAGCACATTTTACTGTAAATGTTTGGGTTTCTGAATTTAAACAGATCTGTTTATTTCAGTATGTAGTAAACAATATCTTACAGTGTCCTCTTCACTACTTGTTAATTAAAAAAGCTATGATTAATATGAAACTGTTGTCTTACTATTTTTAGAAAATTGTGTTCTGAATGATTAGTATTTGGATAAAGGAGATTTCTGGAATATAAAATGGATTGTTTTGAAATTTTCAGGTTTGGCTTTATTTACTCTAATGGTTGAAAACAATTTAGTATTTGGGGAACCCTTTTGGTTATTTTTATGCCTCTGTGGTAAAATGATACAGAACCAGACTAAAGATGTCACTTTTTAATATTTTTTTTCTGATGGTGGCAGGAATTCATACATTAATTGAACTGACACATCATATTGACCTATTTCTATCATATTGACTTACTGTTTCTGCACTTCTTTGACCAGACTTATCTAAAAAGTCCACGTTTGTTAAAATGTCACACCTCTGATATAATCCAACAAAAAGTATTCGAAGTATTTTAAATATTTGTGCATTTTATAATCACTGAATTAATCTCTCTCTCTTCTCTTTAAACAGCTTAGCAGTGTCTGCAAAAACGAATCTTTTCCTACAACCTGTTAACTGAATGGACTGATGGTAACAAAGTAATTGTGGGAGCCATGTCGGTCAAAAATTTGGCATCTGCTGAAAAAAATGAATGCCATTTTCAAGTTCCCAAATTACTTCTATACTGATTTCACTTTCCAGAAATGGAGATATGAAAAGATTCTCTGGAATCCTTGAAAGACTTAATAGAGATACATGAGACTAAGTTAATCTTGGAACAAAATTATACTTTTTTTTGTCTTTCATGGGAGTGATACTCAGTTCTTTGCATACCATTTAAAAATTGTAACCATTGGAGAGGAGATTTATAGTATTTCATCAAGAAATATTAGAGTTTTTACATAATCAAGAGCACATTCCATGGAATTACATTTAGTGTACTAGAATTACATAAACAGGTCATCAGTGATCACAAGGCATATCATGAGTTCGTGTTTATTTCCTGGAACATGAGAGCTAATTTGGAATACAGACACCTTGCCGAGTAAAATATAAAAGTTAATGTAAAGTCCTTTATTATAAAGAGTAGTCTTTAAATAGATGCATTGATTTGTCTGTATATCTTTGAAAAAGTGATTATGATTAAATGTGTGGGTAGTTAATTGCAATTTAGGGTAATATCAGGATGTGTGGATTCTGAGGTTTTGGCTTCTTGAGCTTTCTCTGAGTACTTGACACTGTTTTTAATAATTTGAGGTTTCTAATGAATGGTATATTAGTTTCTACTGTTTTATATTAAAATTTCTCTAGTGTTATATAAGGGTTTTAGTATTCTGGATGATGGGAGTGGCTTTTTTGTGGCACATGGTTGTTTTACTTAATTGAAATATTTTTCGAGTTTATTACAAGTGTGAAAAAATACTCAAAACTCTGGATTGTTTTATTTCATTTCGTTGGACATTCCTTCACCTGGGGTAGACTGAGTTATTTTATCTTATTTACTCATTTGGGAGGTGTGCAGATGATAGAAGAGGGGAGGAGGGGGTAGGAGGTAGGTTCAAGTGGCTGGCTCATGCTGCAAAAGTACAGCCGGTTATAATTCTACAACAGTACAACTGGTTGTCATTCTATAACCAAAGGCACCAACATTATTTACCATAATATGACCATAACTACTACTTTGATAGAACAGAGTGGGTAATTCACTGGTGATTAATTGCCCTTTTAATATGTGATTACCTAGTTTGGCATTTTGAAGGTGTAGTTTAAAGTCCTGATAGTTTAGTCAGATTTGTAAGCTAAATAATCTGATGACTCTTGAAATTAAATCTGTAGTAAGATATATTACGAATTTTTTTTCCCCCTGGATTCACTATTGATAGAAAGTTTTGAGACCTTTCTAAGTGTTTATATTTTTACTGTTTTTCTGAGCCGTATTTTCATTTAGTTGCCATCTAAGCCAGGGATCAAAAAGGTGAGGTCTCCCGTTAGAAATGCAATGTTTTGTTTGGCAAGCACAATATTTTTCATATATGTGAAGTTGAATACTTTTATGTGTAGTTTCAATACTCTAAGCCAGTCATTCCCTGTCGTCTTACAATACCCTGTAATTTTTGTTGACCAAAACTTGTTAAAAATATTTTGCTCAGTATTCACAATGAACTAATTTAAAAATGTAGTCACTAATTGTGTTTTCAACATTTGTGTAGTTAATACATGACTTGAATTTTATTGGTAGCGCATCTTCCTTTAGAATGCGCCTCCAAATTCTATATCTTTCCTGTACACCCACAGAAGTTAGCTTCCTATACCCCTGTGGCTTTGTACTATAGTTTGGGGTTTACAAAATATATTAGTGTCTTAATATAAATATAATGTGAACCCTCTCTTTTTTTTTTAAAGCCAAATAAATATACAAAGTGAATTGTAAATGAGAAATTTAAATAGTTTATCTACTGTGACTGGACTGAATATTAAAAACTATTTTCCTGACTAATTGAGAGCAGTGTTCTTTAGGTCTTAGCTACAAATGACTAAGTGTCCTTAAATTGTAATGCAGATCACTTCAGGTTTTCATGTCATGTATTTGCCCTCTGACCAAATATTTGGTAATGTAAATTTGTAGCAACAGACTTAACATGCTTTGTTGCTTAAGTTGGCTATTTCTAATTGGAAAGACGATTTAAGAAATATGTAGCAGAGGACAGATATTAGAAATTCTTTTTGGTTACAGAAATACTTATAAATGATCCTATGCTAGGGAGTAAATACCTTGGGAATGTTTAAGGACAGGTAAGAAAACATTTTAAATTATCAAACATCTTAAGTTATATTAGTGGGTTTTGAATTATCTAAGTTGATTATACCATTCTGTATATTCTTGAGGAGTCTAACTCAGTAATTTGGCATCCTTATTTTTGAAGTCAGAAATTACTTTTAATTCATTTTTCACCATGATAAGTAGAACTCTGCTTTAAATAAAAATGAGAATTGCAGATAAAATGGATAATTTGGGGTCTGAGAGCTTTTCATCTTGATATATTAGCTTATAAAAAAGGTAATCCTTTTTGCCCTTTAAACGTTTTATATATATATATTTTATTTCTTGTAAAAGTAAAGCATACTCATTACATAAAACTTGGAAAAATCCAGAAAGAGTCAAGAAAAATCACCCATAACTATAACCCAGAGAATATAGTTTCCTTTTAATCATTCTGTGCCTCATAGATAGATTCTTTTGCCTCATAATTGGAATCATTTCTTATGTAAGCTTGGTAGAGAGTATATTTTATCTGTCAAAAGAACAAATCTGCTTTCTGAAAACCTGAAAATATATTTTGTTAATTTCACTGGAGTTTTAAATCGTTGGCAGCACTGCTTTATGTAATATTTTCCTTTAAACAGAAGCTGAAAGCCTATTTTACTGGGAAAGCTGCCTTTTGTACATTCTTTTTATATAATTTTAAATAGCATAAGATTACTTGAGAATAGTTAAGGTGCTCATGAATATGATCTAGGACGGGCACTTAAAATTTTGTTTGCTGCTTTTCTGTGATGATTGGCTTGCTTCATAAAGTGTTGGTCTAGGCCTGTGCCGTCCAATAAACATTAGCCACATGTGGCTAAAATTTTTAAATTGATTAAAATTTAAAATTCTCTTATTCAGTTGTAGCTAGAGTCCAGATGCTCAACAGCCACATGACTAGTGGCTAACATTGACAGTGCAGGTGTAAAATATTTCCATCATCACAGAAGGTCTATTGGACACTGCTGATTTGGATGCTGTCACAAAAGAAAACAGTTTAGAGAACTAGGATAGAAATTTTAGGAAGGAGAACACAATAAATCACTTCAAAAATTTAAATGATCTTTCCTGTAGATCATATGGGGCAGTAAAAAAATAAGTGAACTATCTTAGGAAATGAATTAACTAGGATATTTCACTGAGGGTCAGAGAGGTTAATTTGCTTAGCACTACACAGCTAAAAAAGGAAGCTCAGGTCTGTGGTTCTGAAGAATGACCCCTCAATAGATGGAAGCTTCAAAGATAGACACTGCCTAAGTCTTAAAACTACAGCTGTCCAAGATATAAATAAGGTGAGCACTCTATCATAATAGCTCAAGCTGATCCTGATTGATTGTCGGTAAGATTGGGATTGATCCCTTTGTGAAGAAGGTTGTTAAATATATTCTAAGATTCTATGGATTAATAATGCCTATAGAAACACTTTGAATTGAGAAAATGTAGTAAAAGAAACATTAGCTATAGTGTATTTATACATTTTTTTCATTTTCATTCTTTTTGGCTTTATGAAATCTTCAGTGACAAGTGGCTATACAGTTATTTATTTTTTCCTCTTGTGTTACAGTCCAAACTCAATGCTTAATGTAAAGAAATGGAATGAGCAAGGTGGAAGAGATAATATTTGGCAAACTAATGAAGTCATGCTCTCAAGTGGGTAGCCTTTATGGGGATTCAGCCTTTGTTGCCCAGTTGTACCTCATGTGATAAATTACAAGTCTATATTTATTCATAACATTAGACATAGGTTATTTTTACCATTTTATTTTTTTGTGAATACATATTTGCTTAAAATCAGTGAATTTTTAGGCCAGGTTCAGGTAATTGAAGGGCCTTTATAAGGAGTTTATATTGTCTAGATCCAAGGTATGCTGCAAACACAGTCTGGAGCAAAATGGGAAATAACATCTTTCTAAAGACAGGCTTAGAAATTCTAATCCAGTAAGTTAAGATGTTTCCTTTCTCTGGTAGCAGAGCTGATTGATACCTGTAAGAAAATATTGAGATATTTCACTAGAAAAGACTGTTGTATCAAGTAGCAAACCTATGTACAATATATATATATATTAACCCTAGAAGTCTTGAAACTAAAGATTGAGGTCATGCTACACTCTTTAGCGTCCATTAGTCCTAAAAACTGTCCTTCTGTTTTCTTTTACCCTTTCTCCAGCTCACCTCTGGAGGCTCATATAGCATAGATTGCATCTCGACAGAGAATAACCATTATAGCTAGACAATTTCTGGCATTTTCCTTTAGGGCAAGTGCTCAAACTTACCTAAGAAAACTATTCATATAATAAAGCTTTCATGTTAGGCATAGTACTGTTTGCAGCTTTGTAGTGAGCATTCAATACACAAATTAAGGTTCGTAGCGTGACTACACAGTGTGAGTAAGTTCTAGAACTATTTCAAATTCTTGAGAAGTAAAATTTGATTACTTATAACAACTTCTAATCAAGAAGGTAATGGTGCCTTTGGTCTAAATGCCTTAAAAAATATATTTGCTGTTTTAAGTTGTGAGTTTTCTAGGTAATCGCATTATAAAAGTTTTTCATTGATTATGAGAAAACAATCCTACCTGGCTGCTAGGCCACCATTCACAGGGATAGCCAAGAAAACAGGATACAGACCACCGAAAACAAGACCAATGAGTCCAGCCCGAGTTACTGTACAGGTTTCACAGTTCAAATCACCTAGGAAATAAATTCATTCTGGAATTGAAGGTCATAATAGTCAAGCAAACATAAATGATTTAAAGAATGCAAAATGCCCTGTATCACAGATATTTTTAAGGTAGTAACACAGCAAACGGAATTCTACAAGGTGTGTTAAAAGGTACAATTCCATGTATGGGTAACATAAAATAGCCAGGAATAACCGATAAAACCATCTTAAGAAAAATTTCTTTTACTTGTTTTGAACTTGTATATAATAATCTAAGGGTTTGGGCTACTGTTAGCTTTCTGCACTTGTTTTGTGTTAAGAGATCTTGCCTAATATTTTCACTCAGTCTATTTGACAGTAGATTTCCCTTGATCATAAAAATTCTTTCCACACTGGTCATGGGAGTTCAAACAATCAATTTAAACAAATTTGGAGCAGCACTTAACATAAAATTTAGATGGACTAACTTTCCTAGCCCCCATGGTAATAATACTTTCACTTGAAATCATTAATCAAAAGATTTTTTGTGATTAGCTATACTCAAAGTACTCAGCACACATGGTAAATTTTCAAAAGGAAATCAAATCTCCCTTTATTTAATAAATCTTGTATATGTACTTAGTGCTTTGAGAGATTTACTACATAAAGAGTCTTATTCCCATGAAAATATTTTCCCTTCAAGGAACTCCTCTATGAAATGTACATTTAAAAATTCTAAGGTAGCCAGTATTTAAAAAAAAAGTTTCCAAATATTTCTTACTCTAAATGATCACTGTGGGGAAGGTAAGTTAGACAAAGCAAAAGTATTTAGAACTGCTGTGTATATCCATCTTACCTGGTAGACCATGCTAATATGAATTAATTGCCCCACTACATAGAGAGGTTAGCAAGATTCAGTCTTACCCAAACACTCAACTACATTACAGCATATAGCTACTTGATATTAATGCTTAAGTATTAACTAAAATTGCAAATAACGTATACCAAAGCAAACTCTACGGTGATAGTGAAATAGAATTTACCTGTGGTTAAAGGTAAACTTACAAAACTTGTGTAAGCTACCTGTGCTGAGAAAAATGGGATCACTGCCATTGGTAAGCCAGCAGCGATACGAGCCTGTGTCACATTCAAGATGCGTCGAAAAAGACTGTTTGCTATTAGGCCACAGAGAGCAGCATTAAGTCCAATATATGTTGATCCATGTTCAAGTAAATTCCTGAGAGGATAAGAAAAAATAACTTTTTCTTTGGTTCCATTGTGTGTGTGAGTTCTCCAAATCTGGCATGTGTTACAGAACTTACCAAGATTTTGGAATACAGTAACTGGTTACACCTATTCCTTAGAGCTCTGTAAAACCAAAATCTTAAAAAAATCATTATGTTTTACCTATATATTAATATTTTTATTCTAAAAGTCTTTTGATTTGGTCAACACTTAAAGATACAGTAAGACATTCAGATTTTGTTAAATGTATTTTGTGATTTTGCAAAGGATATTAGTATAGAAATTTCTTCTAATTATGTAGCAAGGCACAGCTTCTGAAGAGTCTGAGCTCCCATAATAACCAATACTTACCTCTCTAGCACAATATACTATAAAGTAGTACTACCTTATAATCATTGGTTTATATGTCAGGCTTCCCCACTAGTCAGTAAACAACTTGAAGACAATGGATACAAAGGTGTTTTTAACTTGGTTTTAGCAGCGCTTGACACAGAAGGTGTTGAATAATGTGGAGTTAATGTGTTTTCTTTCACTATTCCCTGAAGCATTAGTGTCAGTATTGGGAGATGGGGGAGTACTAACATTTAATCAATACTCTATGCTAGGTACTTTACAGCAACTCATTGATGAAGAATAAATTGATGTTTTGAGATAGTGGAACTGGATTTTAAGCCAAGGTATGTATGAATTTATAACCCATGTTCTATACATTCTTTAGTTTTGGGAAAAAATAACCTAACATTATTGCTGGATATTGAAAATACTGATTCCAATTCAAACTTTTCAGCCTACCACTTCACTTTGTCACTACCTGCATTGCCATCTATGATGCAGACACTCCCTTAAATTTCTCATTACTCTTAACTAGCCAAACTAGCTATAGTACCCCCTCATCTGTGGTTTACACTGACCTTCAAACAGCTTTTGTAGGAACTCCTAGTTAAGCTCCCTACATAGTATAAGTTACTACTTTTCCTACTTACCACTTTGCAATCATAATGATGCCTGTCATTTCACTTACTGAGAACCCACTACACGCAGCAGACTTAGTACTAAAGGTGCAAAAAATTATCTTCTACTTTCAAGGTTTTCATAGTTGACTATTATTGGAGAAGAAAGATAATGAAACTTGAAATATAACAAGTCTATAAAAATGGTAATGGCAGTACCAGAGAGTGGCAGTACAGGAATTTAGGGTACACAAGATAACAAGAGTGATAACAACCTAGAGAAACAACCACAGAAAACACGTAAATGTGAAAAGCCTGTGTTTTTCGTGAGGGTGGAGGAAATGAGAAACTTGAGCACTTCCTCTAAAATATTAAGTTATTTCATCTTCATAACAGTCGTGAAATATATATTATCCCCATTTTAGTAATAGTAACCAATGCTCAGAGACATAAATTATTTGCCTGTATTCATTTATATATGTTATATATAAACATAAAACCACATTTATATATATTTTATATATATAAATAAAAATAAGTAGTGCAACTGGAATCTGAATAGCAAAGTTTGCTGTCTTCCAACCAGATTTTATACAGCTAAAGTCAATTTTTTTTTTTTTAGTTTAAGTATTATGGGTACATAATAGTTGTATATATTTATAGGGTACATGTGCTATTTTGATACAGGCATACAATGTGTATTAATCAAATCAGGGTAATTGGGGTATCTGTCACCTCAAGCATTTATCATTTCTTTGTGTTAGGAACATTCTAATTTCACTCTTTTAGTTATTGTTGATTATAGTCACTTTGTTGTGCTATCAAATATTGTTCATTCTATCTAACTATATTTTTGCACCCATTAACCACCCCCACTTCTCCGACCCCCAATACCCTTCCCATACTCTGGTAAGCATCATTGTACTCTCTGTCTCCATGAGGATCAATCGTTTTAATATTTAGCTCCCACATATGAGTCAGAACACGTGAGATTTGTCCTTCTATGCTTGGTTTATTTTACCTAACATAATGTTCTCCAGTTTCATCCATGTTTTTGCAAATAGCAGGATTTCATTCTGTTTTATGGCTATGTAATGTTCGATTGTGTGTATGTACCACAGTTTCTTTATCCATTCATCCGTTGATGGACACTTAGGTTGATTCCATGTCTTGGCTATTGTGAATAGTGCTACAATAAACATGGGAGTGCAGGTATCTTTTAAATATACTGATTTCCTTTCTTTTGGATATATACCTAGCAGTAGGGTTGCTGGGTCATATTGTAGTTCTATTTTTTGTTTTTTGAGGGACCTCCATACTGTTATCCATAGTGGTTGCACTAATTTACATTCCCACCAACAGTGTGCCAGGGTTCCCCTTTCTTCACATCCTAGCCAGCGTTCGTTATTGCCTGTCTTTTTTATAAAAGCCATTTTAACAAGTAAGATGATAGCTCATTGCAGTTTTGATTTGCATTTCTCTGGTCACTAATGATGTTGAGCATTTTTTTCATATACCTTTTGGACATTTGTATGTCTTTTGAGAAATATCTATTCAGATCTTTTGCTGACTTTTTAATCAGATAATTTGATTTTTTCCTATTGAGTTGTTGGAGCTTCTTATATATTCTAGTTATTTATTTATTTTTTTTTTGAGACAGAGTCTCACTCTTTTGCCCGGGCTAGAGTGCCGTGTATTCTAGTTATTAATCCCTTGTCAGAGGGTAGTATAGAAATATTTTCTACCATTCTGTGGGTTGTCTCTTCCCTTTGTTGACTGTTTGCTTTGCTGTGCAGCTTTTTAGCTTGATGTGATCCCATAAAGTCAAATTTTTTAGTTAATTACCACAAAATTGTTGTTATCCACTAGCCCCTTGCCAATTTTCCTAAAAAGTTCCTATAAAACTAGAAACTCATGACTTTTTGACAAAAAAATACACAGAAAATAAGTAGACACATAACATATAAGACGAAGTTTAACAAATGGCAATGAAATATATGGTACGTGAAATTACTTTGTAGATCATAAAATGAAGTTTTTGATATTAAAAAAGCTCCATGCACTTAGGAACATACCAAGTAACTATTAAACATATCTAATTGTTTAATAATGTAAGAAGGAATGAGGATTCAAACTTAAAGATAAAATGGAAATGAAGAGAAAAAATAGGAACTAAGCAAAGATAACAGAACATAGCCATCTGTCCAGTTTAGGTGTCAATAATTGAAAGCAATTTATTTCCTCCTGCAGTTACAGCTCCCCCATACTCTCCTTTCTAATTTGGTGAAGGTCCCAGTGATACAGCCTTTCTTTTCAAAGCTGCCACTATCTATTCTCTTCCTTGTGTCCATCTTTCTGGCTTCCTCCACCTTGCTGGCCTGGAAACATGGACACAGGTCCTACTTTGCTTTAAACGTTTTCTGTTATTTACCTCAGGAAAACAACTAAAAAGGTGTGTGTTGGGATGGATGGGTGGAGAGATATGTAGAGTTTTTGAAATCTCACCACGTTATTACTGCTCTTGGTTTATAGGTTCTCCCTGGTTGAGATGGTATGTCGATCTTGACAGCAAGATCGGAATTTGTGCAATTTTCATTCCTGAAAGATAGTAAGATTATACCTCCAAAATATATTTCAAATCCATCCTCTTTTCTTCTCAACTGCTACCACCCTACTGTCTCCACTCACCAGGATTACTACGCTAGTTTTTCTACTGGTCTTGGTATTTCCTTTCTCTCATATCTTAAATCTGTACTCCAAAAAGCAGCCGGAACATTCTTTAGAAATGTTAGATGGATCACATCATTCCCCTGCTTAAAATCCTTCTTATTCCTTATGTCCATTTCCTTTGTACTTCAGTAACAATGGTTTCATAAATATGGCAAACCCTTTGCTATCCTGTGGCTAGGCATATGCCATTTCTTCTACCTGAGATACTGTTTCTCCCACCTCCTCAGGCTGGCTCGTTTGCATCCTTTTAAAGTCAGAGAGACCTTCTTGACTGACAAGGAGGTCTGAGAACACTTTGTGAAAGTGCGATGTATTAAAAGTTGTCTGTGTTGTCTTGGATAAGTACACTGTCTATATACTCCTTATATTTTCTTTTTCTCTTTAATAATATCTTAAAGATCTCTAGCCATGATCCCATTTTCTATGGCATTCCCTGTCTAGCTATGTGTGTGTTCCATGGTACTCTTTTACATTGGTAAACTAATTCATTTCATATTGATAGAAATGAATTGAGAAAGAAGACATTTTAAAAATTATTTTAAAGTTTTATTTCAGTAGGTCTGTAAATGTTACATTTTACTACACTCTAAGCTGAATGGAAAAACTAAATCACTATCAATTAGCAATGTCCAAAGACATGAGTTCTGGCCTTGACTTCCACAATTAGCTGTGTGGTATTGAGCAAAATGGTTAATCTCTCCAGGTCTTGGCTTTCTCATTCAGGCAAGAAATCCTTCTGACATCCTATGTTGTTTACACTCAAACCACCAGATAAATCTGAGGTAATCAGTGATGGAAATCTACCCAATAAAAAGATATTTTTAATTAAGAAGGAATCTTACCTTTCTGATTCTGGAAGCTGGTTAATTTTTCTGACTATGATACTGACAAGTGTTGGGTTTTCCTTGCCAGTATCATCCGGTTTATGATTTTCCATCTTGAGCCTTAAGAAATTTAAAAATAACCACTTTTCAATAATGTACATCTATAGAGAAACAAAATTTTAAAAGCATGAAGACTAAATACTTCATTTTAAAAGCACTTTAGAGTTCATAATCTGAAAAATCAATGCATATGTACCATGCTGGGGAAAACCAAAACCAAAACAACCACCACAACAAACAAAAAAACAAAATGAAGTGAAACAGAAACCAGAACATGAAAAGCTACACATAAAGCTTTTAGGAAATACAAAATATGTTCATAAAAAAATATTTCCTAAACAATTCACAAATAGCACTAAACAATAAGACTTATAAAACTAACATTAATATTAAAATTTAGAACTCATGGTCATCAATAGATATCATAAAGATAAGCTATTGTTGGAGAAAATGTTGGCTTGCAATACAACTGACAAAGTAGTTAGTACCCAGAACATATACTCAATTACAAATGAACAACAAAAAAAGGTAAGCAACCCTATAGAAAAATTGACAAAAGATTTGAACAGACACTTCATGAAAAAAGGAAAGTCAAATAGCCAATAAACATGAAAATAGGCTCAACTTCATTGAAATTAAAATCTGACAATTCCGATTACTGGCAAGAATGTGAGGTAGCTGAAACTCTCATGTGCTGCTGCTGGTGGAAGTGCAAATTGTACCCTAAGTGGGTATAACCACTTTAGGAAAGCATTTGGTATTTAGTAGGTAGAAGACATACATACCCAGGAATTTTACTTCTAGTATACCCTAGACCAGGGATCAGTGAACTCTTCTCTAAAGACCAGACAGTAAATATTTTAGGCTTTGCAGGTAACATATGGTGTTTGTTTGATTTTTTTTTAACTCTTAAAAGATACAAAAAATCACTCATTCTTAGCCAGTTGGCTGTACAGAAACAAGCTGTAGGCTGCATCTGACCTACATGCCAGTAGTTGATCTCTGCACTAGTTAGGGTGAAAATGGTGAATGATGAGTTTTAAACAGAAGATTTGGCTCATTAACAATTTTTTTTTTTTTAGAGATAGGGTCTTGCTCTTGCTCAAGCTGGTCTTGAACTCCTGAGCTCAACAGATCCTCTGGCCTTGGCCTTCCAGAGTGCTGGGATTACAGGTGTGAGCTACCACACCTGGCCCGTTAACAAAGTTTTAAGCAGATCTGGTTCAATAAATTTCAGGGTAACAGTTAAGAAAAGCAAAGGACAACATAGTTTTATGGTCAGATTTTCTTGGTTCATATAATTTGCTACAAGATTAATTTACTGCACTAATTTAACAAATATTTATTGCTACCTGTTTTAAATACATAAGAAGTCATTTGGAAATACTGAGTGCACTGAAATGCCACATCTCTAGACTTAAAATTAACCTAGTAAGTACAATGCAACCTTAGAAATTTAGGTCTAGGTTTCAGGACTCAAGTTTTTGCAGGCGTTGGCTACAATAACATGATAGACACAAACTCTGCTATACAGGAGCTCTGAGTGATTTTGTGTATGGGGGAGGAACGTATGTTGTCAAATTCAGTATATATAGAGAAAGTGTATAATGTATATGTCAGAAATAAAATGATTTCCTCAAAATGTTAAGCCAAATGCTATCACTCCTATGTTCTACATATTGGTGAGGTTCTGCGTTCCAAGAAATATACATTACTAGGGTGTGTCTAAAGTCACCCTTAATTCAGTATAAATCCTGACTGGGCAGTCCCCGTAGGACATCATGTCTTCGTTATTAGTAATAAATCCCTATCAAAGACAATGCCACCTTGAATTACTACAAACATTTCAAAAGATTTTTGCATTAGCTATCTCACATCACTCTTATGCGAGCTCTGAGATACGGACAGTGTGTAAAGTGGGACATCTGTGACTCTGTAAAGTGGCAGTAAACTCGGGATTAAATTCAGATTACTCTAAGGTGACTGTAAATTGGCAGTAAACTCGGGATTAAATTCAGTCACAGACAATTTTCCCTTCTGTTGGCTTAATTTAAATATAAGGTCTTTTTTTCTAGGGTGGAAAGTGAAGAGACGGTCAGCACCGTTGGGCCAACTCCGCTCCTCTCTGATCTCATTCCCGCGCTGCTAGTGGCAAGCGTGTCACCTCGCTGTGCTCCTCCCGATACCGGGACATTTTCTTCACCCCTTTTCCCCGAATGTCAGTACCTTATGCTCTCCTTCTCCCAGGAGCTGCTGCCGCCTCCGATTTTCCTCAGCCACGCCGGGGATCACTGCAACCTTTGTCCAACTTGACTGGGCGCAGCCATCTTTGGCTGACACGTGACTCGCCTGGGCGGGCGCGGGGGTTGCGGCCACTAACTGGGCTCCAGGACCTGGTTTGCAGCCAAAAGCGGCTTCCGGCTAAGGGGTGTCAGGCCGGGGGAGGTGTTGGGCGGGTGAGCGATGAGGTTTGGCTGGTTGAGATTGTGATCTTTTTGCCTACCGCCGCCCCCACAGGATAGAGCCTGTAGACATTGTGAAATTTCGAAATGTAAGTCGGGTGACCCTCGACTTTCTTCTTCCGTTGAAAACCTACCTTGGGCATGTTACTTAATTTCCTGGTCAATAGAGTTTACCTCATGATGTTGCCTTGGAGTATATGAAAACTGCACAGCTTTTGGCATACAATAGCTATTCAAGTTAAGAAGTCAAAAAGGAACTGAAATTTCTTTGCGCCATCGATTTTCTACTCTCCCGTGGAATTTCGGCTCTATGCCATATTATGATCTGGTTGATTGTCTGGTGAGGCAACCCTCAAGAGGTGGAGCTTGTTTTTCGGAGGATTCTTGGTGCCTTCTAGAGTACTACTTATTTGAAAGCAGGTTTGGGTTATGTGGCTAAGAGGAACTGTTCATAGAGGAGGGAGCCTAGTGGCTCCATCAGTCAGGACAATTGAGAACCGAAGTCCTGGACTATGCTTCTGAAGACTTTTGTCTCAGTTCTTATCTTCTTTCCTCATCTATGAATAGGAGAGGAAGTAACATTATCCTTGATTATGTTGTGAAGATCCAATAAAAATGCTTAACAAGGTTGCTTTGACAATCATTGAGCTTTATCAAAGGAGAAGGTGTATTCAAGATAAAGGTCAAGCCTTCATATTGGCAAGGTGAGCAAGAGAAGAGCCCCCCAAACTCCTCTGTTGGGAGGTACTTAGCTGATATGAAATCGTCTAATCAATGAACCAGAAAAAAATCAAAACAGTTTCACAGATTCCTACGTCGAAAGTCAGTATATTCTCCAATTGGAAAGTTTCTGAGGTAATTCAGAGAAAGTTTGAGAAAACCAGCTTATTAAGATACCAACTATTACGTGTGTGTGTGTGTGTGTGTGTGTGTGTGTGTATGTGTATGTGTGAATACTGTACTTTGTTTCCTGATACTTTATTTCACATTCTTACAATTTCATCCTTAATGGTTTGAAGCCAATTTAGAAAGTAATAGATGTTCATGCTGTATAGAATCTGTAGCATGCCATTCTGGATTAATAAAGACAATTTAGTATATTGAGGTTTTTGAAAAGATTAAAGGAATATATAAACTGGACACAAAATAATGGTAAAATTGAAGTAGGTGGAGGGCATTACAGGTGAGGGGCAGGTGTCAGAAAGTATAAGGTATTTAAGGAAATGGTTAACAGTTTGGCTTGGCTAGTGTTTAATATTAATGCAAGAGAAGGGAGGAAAGCTAAATCCTCTTCTGTAAAAGGAAAAATGTTGAGTATCTAGACTTAGGGAACCAAACTCATGAGGATAAGAAAGGCAAATTAAAAAGCCTGAAAATGAAACAAAACAGAGCAAGGCATGTTTGGTCACCATTTACTATCACAGACTCCTAATGGGGTGTGACTCCTCTTCCTCTTCTATTTTCTACAAGGCACCTGGCAGTAGAGATTAAATTACATTTTAAAATCAGATTATAATATACCCTACTAAAAATTACTTAATGGCTTTCCATGGACTTTGAATAAAACCCTAAATCATTAACATGGTCTGTAAAACCCTGCATAATCTCGCTCTATTTCTAACCTCTCCCAAGTCATCTCGAGCCATTTGAATACTCACTTGCTGTGCTTGTCCAGATGCTCTGGCCTTTCAGTTCCTCAGCTCCCCAAGATTTTTGATGCTGTAAATCCTTTGCCCTGCTGCTCCTTCCATTTGACCACTCTTGATCCCCAGATTTTATGTGGCTGGCTCCTATTCTTCAAGTCTCAGATTAATAAAATCCTAATTTTTCCTGGCCATTAATCTAAACTAAAATCTTCTTATCGGTCTCTCATTATCCTGTTTATTTCAAAGCACTTAATAAAACATGTGTTTGTATGCACATATGTTCAACTGGCACAGTGCCTGGGTCATGGATGAATGATTTACAGGATTTATTGCCTGTGGATTACAGACAACATAGCTCTTGGAAAGTTACTTATTTCTTCACTACACATTTGTTGAGTACTGGTGTCACTGGCTCCCAGGAGCTCACAGAATAGTGGGAGAGACAGACAAGCACAAAAGACAATTCTAATTGTATGTTCTACGTTATTTTTTTTGAGACAGAGTCTCACTGTGTTGCCCAGGCTAGAGTGCCATGGCGTCATCCTAGCTCACAGCAACCTCAAACTCCTGGACTCAAGCGATCCTTCTGCCTCAGCCCCCTGAGTAGCTGGGACTACAGGCATGCGCCACCGTGCCCGCCTAATTTTTTCTATGTATTTTTAGTTGTCTGATAAATTTCTTTCTATTTTTAGTAGAGACGGGGTCTCACTCTTGCTCAGGCTGGTTTCGAACTCCTGAGCTCAAACAATCCTCCCATCTTGGCCTCCCAGAGAGCTAGGATTACAGGCATGAGCCACCGCGCCCTGCCATCTACGTTATTTTTGAGATATGTAGAGGACACTATGGAATATCTATCTCTGCCTAGAATATCTAAGAAGGCTTTCAAGAGGAAAACCAGTTATTGGGAAACAATTCTAAATGGCACTTCTAAATCTTCTGTGACCTGGACTGTCCTTTCAAGGATATTTGCATAGTAGTCTTGGAAGCTTCAGATTGTGTTTCCCTCTGGGTCAGAAGACAGATTTGTTTCCTGACCAGGGTAATAACAATAATTGTTCTTAGAAACAAAGTCTGAACAGGTTTGCTTGTAGCACCCTTGTAATATTGAGAGTTACCTGAGCTTGGTATTCCTCAGCTATAACATGGATCCATCTTTGTGCAGGGTCCACCTGGGTCTGCCTCCACATAATCTCTATAGCACTTGAATGGCCAGATGAAGCAGTGAGAACATGAAGGCTCATGCTGCTTGCTGTGCCATGGTTCATAAACTCTCTAAATCTATTAGGGCTCTTGGTCTCATTACTGGCTGAATCAATAGAAGTGTGGATCTGGGTATGGTGTTTCACGTCTGTAGTCCCAGCTACTTGGGAGGCTGAGGTGGGAGGATTGCTTGAGGACAGGAGTTCAAGACCAGCCTGAGTAATATAGCAAGACCTTGTTTCAAAAGAAGAAAAAATAGGTGAGTCAATGGAATTATGGCAAGTCAACTTAGCAGCTACCACCATGTTGCTGCTTAGGAACTGTTTGATTCCTTGACACTTGACTCACAACTATACATTCCAGAACAGTAGCCAATAGACGCATGTGGCTATTGAGCACATGAAATGTAACTATTCCAAATTAAGATTTGCAGTAAGTGTGAAATGCATGCCAGATTTTGAAGACCTAGTATAAAATATTTTTAAATTACACATTGAAATGATAATATTTTAAGTAAAATATATTGGGTTAAATAAGATATATAATAAAAATTAAAATCTTGTTTCTTTCTGCTTTTTAAGTATGGCTACTAGAAAATTAAAAATTATATATGTGGCTTACATTATATTTCTATTGGACTATGCTGATTTTTGAAGGTACATCTAAACACTATTAGCAAACATTATGCCAAAAATAGTTAAATATAGCAAAAACTACATGATCATAACATATCTCAGAAATCTTAATTTTTGTCCTCCAAAATTTCTGAGCAACTGATAAAGTGTTTCATTGTTCAAAGGGTTTATATTAATTTTTCTGAAAATTATACTTCTCATTTCATTTTTTCCCTTTTTTTATTTTAATAGAATTAGAAGGTACCAATTGAATTCTGTTACACATATATTTTATAGTGGTGAAGTCTAGGCTTTTGTACCCATCACCTGAATAGTGAAAATTGTACCCCAAATGTAATTTTTGATTCCTCACCTCTCCCACTTTCTCCCCTTTTGAGTCTACAATGTCCGTTATACCAGTCTGTGTGTCCTTGTGTAGCCATAGTTTAGTTCCTTAGAAGCGAGAACATGAGGCATTTATTTTTCTGTTCCTGAGTTACTTCACTTAGGGTGATGGCCTCCAGTTCCATCCAGCTTGCTGCAAAAGACATTATTTCATTCTTTCTTATCGCTGAGTTGTACCACATTTTCTTCATCCACTTCTCGGTTGAAGGGCACTTAGTTTGATTCCATATCTTTGTGTGAATTGTGCTTATATGAGTGCAGGCATCTTTTTGATATAATAATTTCTTTTCCTCTGGATGGATGCCCAGTAAAGGGAGTGCAGGATTGAAGGGTAGATCTACTTTTAGTTCTTTGAGAACTGATCTCCATAGAGGTTATACTATTGTACATTCCCACCAACAGTGTATAAGGGTTCCTTTTCATTGCATTTGTGCCAACATCTATTTTTTTTTTTACTTTTTAATAATGGTCATTCTAATTGGAGTGAGATGGTATTTCACTATGGTTTTAATTTCCATTTCTCTAATGATTAGTGATGTCGAGTATTTTTGCATATGTTTTTTGGCTGTTTGTATCTCTTCTTTTGAAAAATGCCTATTCACATCATTTTCCCATTTTTTAATAGGATTGTTTGTGGTTTTTTTGTATGCTGAGTTGTTTGAGTTCCTCGTAGTTTCTGGATATTAGTCCTTTGTCGGACACATAGTTTGCAAATATTTTCTCACATTCTGTAGGTTGTCTATTTAGTCTTTTGGTTATTTCTGTTGCTGTACAGAAACTGTATAGGTTAATTAAGTCCCATTTGTATATTTTTGTTTTTATTGCATTTACTTTTGGAGTCTTAGTCATAATTCTTTGCCTAAGCCAATGTCCAGAACAGTTTTTCCTAGTTTTCTTCTAGGATTTTTATTGTTTCAAGTCTTACCTTTAAGTCTTTCATCTATCTTGAGTTAACTTTTATATACGATGAGAGATATGGATCCAGTTTCATTTTTCTGCATATGGCTATCCAGTTTTCCCAGCACCATTTACTGAATAGGGTGTCCTTTTCCCATTGTATGTTTTTGTCTGTTTTATTGAAAATCAGTTGGTTATAGGTATATGGTTTTATTTCTGGGTTCTCTATTCTGTTCCGTTGATCTATGTGTCTACTTTTATGCTAGTACCATACTGTTTTGGTTACTATAGCTTTGTAGTATAATTTGAAGATAGGTAATGTCATGCCTCCGGTTTTATTTTGTTTTGTTAGTATTGTTTTGGGTATTTGGGCTCTTTTTTGGTTCCATATGAATTTTAGAATTGTTTTTTCTCATTCTATGAAAAACGACTTTGGTATTTTGATAGTGATTCCATTGAATCTGTAGATTGCTTTGGACAGTATGGTCATTTTAACAATATTGATTCTTTTAATCCATATACATTTTTCCATTTGTTTTTATCATCTATGATTTCTTTCATCAGTGATTTGTAGTTTTCCTTGTAAAGATCTTTCAGCTCCATGGTTAAATATATTAATAAGTATTTTATTTTGTTTGCAGGTATTGTAAATGGGATTGAGTTCTTGATTTTCTTTTCAGTTTCGTCATTGGTGTATAGAAATGCTATTGATTTTCCTATGTTGATTTTATAACCTGAGACTTTGCTGAATTCATTTATCAAATGTGGGAGCCTTTTGGAGGAGTCCTTAGGATTTTCTAGGCATGGAATCATATCATCAAACACATCAGATCATATCAGCATCAAATCATATCGGATAATATCAGCATGAAATCATATCAGCAAACAGAGATAATTTGATTTCCTCTTTACCAATTTGGATGTGCTTTATTTCTTTCTCTTGCCTGATTGCTCTGGCTGGGATTTCCAGTACTATGTTAAATAGTGGTGGTGAAATTGGGTATCCTTGTCTTGTTCCAGTTCTTAGGGGGAATGCTTTCACCTTTTCCCCATTCAGTATGATGTTGGCTATGGGTTTGTGATATATGGCTTTTATTATTTTGAGGTATGTTACTTTTATGCTGAGTTTTTGAAGGTTTTTATCCTGAAGGGATGCTGTATTTTTTCAAATGCTTTTTCTGCATCTACTGAGATGATCATATGGTTTTTGTTTTGAATTCTGTTTATGTGGTGTATCGCATTTAATGACTTGGATATGTTGAACCACCCTTGCATTCCTGGATTGAAACCTACTTGATTTTTGTGAATTATTCTTTTAATGTGTTATTGGATTTGGTTTACTAGTATTTGTTGAGGATTTTGCATCTATGTTCATGAAGGATATTGGTCTGTAGTTTTCTTTATTTGTTGCATTCTTTCATGGCATTTGTATCACAGTGATAAGTTAGGGAGGATTTCCTCCTTCTTGATCTGTTGGGACACTTTCAGTAGCAATGGCACTAGTTCTTTGTATGTCTGGTAGAATTCAGCTGTGAATTCATCTGGTCCTAAGCATTTTTTTTGGGGGGCGGAGATTTTTTATTACTGCTTCAGTCTTGCTACTTGTTATTAGTCTATTCATGAGTTCTATTTCTTTCTGGTTCAATCATGGGAGGTTGTATGTTTTTAGGAATTCATCTGTTTCTAGTTTGTGAGATTATAGTTGTTCATAATAGTCTGTGATAATCTTTTTTTTTTTTTTCTCCTAAGACAGAGTCTCACTCTGTCACCCTGGCTAGAGTGCAGTGGAGTCATCATAACTCACTTCAACTTCAAACTCCTGGGCTCGAGTGATCCTCCTGCCTCAGCCTCCCACATAGCTGGGACTACAGTTGTGTACCACCATGCCTGGATAATTTTTTCTATTTTTAGTAGTGACGGGGTCTCACTCTTACTCAGGATGGTCTCAAACTTCTGACTTCAATTGATTCTCCTGCCTCGGCCTCCCAGAGTGCTAGGATTACAGGCGTGAGCCGCCACGCCTGGCCTGATCTTTCTTATTTTCTTACTTCTGCTAACCTTGGGTTTGGCTTGTTCATTTTTCTAGTTCCTTGAGGTGTGATGTTAGGTTGTCAGTTTGTGATCTTTCTACTTTTTTGATTTAATCATTTAATGCTATAAACTTCCCTCTTAGCACTACTTTTTCTGTGTTCCACAGGTTTTGGTATGTTGTGTTTTCATTTTCATTCATTTCAAAAAAGTTTTATATTTCTGTCTTTATTTCTTCATTGACCCAGTGATGGTTTAGGACAATGTTGTTTAATTTCCGTGTATTTGCATAGTGTCTGAAGTTCCTCTTTGTATTGATTTCCAGTTTTATTTCACTGTGGTCTAAGAAGATACTTGATATGATTTTGATTTTTAAAAATTTCTTAAGACTTGTTTTGTGGTATAACTTGTTATGTGGTCTATGAAATGTGGTCTTGGAGAATGTTCTGATGAAAAGAATGTATAATCTGTAGTTGCTGGGTAGAATGTTCTGTAGATGCTTATTAAATCTATTTGGTCTAAAGTCCAATTTAATTTCAGTGTCTCTTTGTTGAATTTTCTGTCTCAATGATCTGTCTAGTGCTGTGAATGGGGTGTTGAAGTCACCCACTATTATTGTGTTGCTGTCTGTCTCTTTTGGTGTAGTAGTATTTGTTTTGTGATACTGGGTGCTCCAATGTTGGGTGCATGTAGATTTAGGATTGTTATATCCTCTTGCTGAATTGATCCCTTTATCATTATGTAATGACCGTCTTTCCTTTTTTCTTTTTTTACTGTTTTTGATTTAATTCTGTGTTATCTAACATAAGTATAGCTTGCGTTTGGTTTCTGTTTGTGTGGAATCTGTGATTTCTGTGATGGCTTAGGGCACAATTATTAGTTGAGGCCATGGTGAAGTTTTGCTGGAGGCTTGAATACTAGCCGAGCCCATCTTCAGGCCCCAGTAGTGGCAGCAGTGGGCTGTGTATGCCTGATTTGAGGTCCCAGAGCAGTTTATGCTGGTAGCAGTGTTAGTATGTCCTGGAGGGCCAATTCTTGGTCCTTCAGGTGGCTTATCCAAACCTAGTATTTAGAGCAAAGGGCTGGTTGTGTGGATGGGTTCTCAGGCCCATGAGCAGCTGCTGTTTTGTGGGAGGTGGCAGTAGTGGTGGTACAGCCACCCACTAGGACCCAAATGGTCCATATTGGCGTTACTGGTAGCTGCAATAGATTGGGCAGGCTAGTCCCCAGCCCCACAGATGCCTGTAACAGGTCAGTAGGTATTGTCTTAAGTGTGCTTAGGAGAGCTTGCTCTCTCCTGTCCCTTCCCAGCTGGGTGGTGGCTACAGCCACATCACCTTGAACTCAGCCCAAGGGTGGGGTGCAGCCTAGTGTTAAACTCTTAAAATGGTGCGCCCCACAGCTGGAAGAAGGGGATTCCCTGGGTCTGTTCCATCCAAACACTGTTGAAGCAAGAGACAGATCACAGCCCCACAGAATGTGCTGCCAGATTACCAAGTCTTTAATCTCAAAATGAATATGATTAGGACAAGGAGAATGAGATGTGAGGTTCTACTCTGCAATTCTTCTCATCAATGCTTATTTCTTGAACTAAGATAAATGTGTGGCTCAGGAACGTCTTAGGAGACCCTGAAGAACCATGCTGTGAACTTTCTTTAGATTTTAAGCTTCTTGAGGGCAGGGAGTGAATCTTTGTACCCCTGGTGCCTATCTCAATGCACGGTAAGTAGGCACTCAATATTGTTTAAACTACATAGTAAAGACAATTAGTAAATGTTAAGAAGATAGTAAATATAGTGAATCAGAGTTTAGAGAAATAGGCTATGTTATTTCCATACCTTGCCTTCCTATGAACTTCCAATTCCTCTTTCAAAATTTAGCTCAGACATTACTTTTTCTCCCCACAGCTTCCCCTATTGCCTAAGTAGTTAATAGTTATACCTTCGGTGCCCCCACAGAATCATGTGTATACCGCTTAAACCCTCTCATACTATGTGTTCATATTTCTCATTCCTCTAATTTTGAATTCCTTCTGGGTAAGAACTGTTTCTTATTACATGTAACACAGTGCCTGAGACACAGCAGGTGCTCCTAAATGTTTGATGAATTAATGAATTAATATAACTGCATAGATCAGACCTTGAAGCCCAAAAACCCATTTCCACACATAAAGAAAAAAGATGAAACCTCCATTTATTGTTACGTTTACTGAGTTACTAAACATTTATTGAATATCTGCTATACATATCATTTTGAAAGGAAAGAAAAATTTATATCTTACATGTAAGATGAAACTTACATTTATTGATTGAATTATTGAATATTTATTGAGTATTTATTATATGTCAGGCAAAAGGGACAGAAACAAATGGTCTGTCCAGTATTACTTTTAACTCTTTCAGGAATGCCCGAGTCCTCATCATAAAAAATCCTTTCTGCTGAGTTAGCATCCATTCGTTTTATTGGTTAATCTTCATGCACAGTTTTCTCAAGTGTCTTTTTAAATGCTGCATACTTCTGTAGACCATTAAATATTCCAAACGCTGTCTGAAAGATTAGAGGAATTGCCATTGCTTTCACCTCTGTTTGACAAAGCAGCGTCCAATGGAGTAAGACCCTTCCTTTTGGTGGCGGTGGAACAGTATGATACCTAAAAAGGAAAAAGAGTTATCACTTCTCCTGGATATATTTTATCAAAAGTTTGTTGATTTCTCTTCAACTGATAATTTCCATTCTAGGTCTATCATGTAGCTAGCAAAAAAGTTAAAAGTTAGCTATTTGAAATACCAAACTACTATAATTGATTAAAATGTATTACTGACAGCTAAAGAATAAGGAGAGTTTATTAACCTTAAAAAAAAAAAGCACGGGGAAAAAAGGAAGAAAGAAAAGAAACAACAGATAGACTTACTTGACTGCTAAACGTCCATTTTTAGAAAAAGCCAAACCAGTGGGATATATAACACCACATACTATGCCAATCAATGAACTTCTAAGAACACAATTTTCCTCACTTATATTATCTGAAAAACAAAAGTAAATTTAGTTTTCCTTTAAAACTCAGGATAAGAGCTTTTAAAATAGTGTATTTATTACCTCATAGAGTAGTTATCTGCACTGTCCTCAAGCACAATGAAACAGTAGAAAGAATGTTAGAAATTCAAAGTCTATGGCACATAACAGGCTAAATGCATCACATTTTAAAAATGCTTTTATTATATTTTAGCATATGGAGAATTACCTGTTCCATATGTGGTTGTTACAGAAGCAATTTCATGAAAGAATACTAAACTAGCAGACCAGACACCTGGATTCTAGTAAATACATTTTTACTGTCTACTGTGTGTCAGGCATGTACTAGATGCTAGGGATACAGTGGTGAATAAAAGATACCTGATCTCTGGCTTTCTGGACAGTCTACCAGGTAAGAAAGACATTAGACAAACATTTAAATAATTGTAAGTGTGTCCAATGCTTTGAAGGTAAAGTGTATGGAAAATGTTATCTAGAAACCTATCCTACTATAATGGAATCAGAGAGGGTTTCCCTGGGAAAAAGATATTTAAGCAGGGACCTGAAGAATGAATAAGGGCTAAAGCCTCCATCAATTACTAGTTGCAAAACTCAAGGTAAGGTGAGGAGGCAGGAAATAACATTAGAAGCCCGTAATATGACAGATACTGTGTTAGACATTTAACATACAGTACCTTTTAATTCTCACAACAATCCTGTGAGGTAAGTACTATTAGTAATGATTCATAGATAAGAGAACTGAAGCTCAGAGATTAAATGACTTGCTGAATGTCACAAACTTAAGTGGTGGGAGACAGGACATGAAATCATGTGTTATATGCCAAAGTCTACCCTTTGTGCATTATATAATGTTGCTTCTCATGTACTTGAATGTGCCTCTGGGTTGCCTATCTGTAAAAAAGAAACAGTACTACTTACTCTGCCTAATTAGGAGGACTGTTGTGGGGACCAATAGGACAATATATGTGAAGGTACTTTGTAAGTGGTACAGCAATATGCAAATGTAAGGGATTATTATTAGCAGTTGCAATAGTATATGTTAATAAGTATCTTTACTTAGACATAACTACATTACATATTAGTGAATTTAAATTTACCTAAATATAAAGCATCAGTTAAAAGGAGCTTGTCAGCAACTATAGTAGCCAAAAATGGAAGTGTAGTTACTGATGCATATGTTTTCAAAGCATCATGTTTAACTTTGAAGCAGTGTCTAAAAATGAAGTTTGCTAGTATTCCAGAGAAACCAGCTGCTGTTGCAAAGGACGCCGTTCCATATATATTTAATGTCCTAATAGAAAAAACAAAAGAGAAAAATTAAGTTCAACATAATATTTTCCTAATGGATATATTCTTTCCTGAGTAGTTGTTATTACATATTTACTCAACATCAAATATTTCTTGAACATCTTGAACATTTACTATGTGAAAAGTATTTTCTAAGTGCTGAGGATGGGGTGGTAAACAAAGAGAAAGAAAAGAAAAAAAAATTCCCACTCCCTGTGGAACTTGCATTTTAATGGGAGCAAATGATTCTCTTTCTGAAATGACTTAGGGTGATTCTAAAATAGAATTTTAGAATTTTAAAGAATTTTGGCCATAAATAAATATAAGTATGTTACAAGGTAGCCAAATTTTATGAACTACCTAAATCAAGAATTTCCTGCTACTAAAAATTAATTTGCTTAAGGCATGTAAAAAAAGCTGTTTACATTTGGTTAGGCCTTATAGAAAATAGCTGTTTCTTAATTAATCCAGATACATTTAAAATAATTTGTCCAGGATTTATAAAACCTAATCCAAAGAGATATGACAGATCTAGTTTTCTTATTCTGACTCATACCTAAATCCAGAAATTTCTAAAGTTTAAGATCAACTGTCCTTTGATTTTATTCTTAAGCTCTATTCATTTAAAAGTCAAAATGATAACATAAGACTGTATGTATACCATGAAATCTGCATTCCCTTTTGCTGTTCTAAGTACTGTGGCTGAGATAATCAATCCTAAACTGATAAATTACAATTGCTCATCAGTTAAATATAAGTACCTGGCAAAATGGTTTTCTCCTAATTACTTCTAATTAAAATACATTTATTACATAAATGTTACAGTAATAATTTTGGACATTGTTTAAGAAGCAGAAGAAATTATACACAATCCTAAATATTCTAACAAACCACTATTTTTATCTGTCGTTTCCCTCCAGTTCTTCTATTTAATAACCTTTCTTCATAATCAACTGAATAAAGTTAATAGGATCTTAGATACTCAGCAATAATGGCAATATAAAACATTTGCAAATAAAGTTATTGACTTCAGTCTGGATGTATCTCTTACATTTCTTTTCTAAAACATTCAAACTTTTTTTCTATGATTTCAATGACTATTGGTCTTCTGAGTTTTCCATCTCCTAGAGAAGGACTGGGCTGACCATGCATAGATGCTGCCATCTTGATGTCCTGGAAAACACAAAATTCCAGAGCCATAACAGCTGATGATATTAATATTAAATAAGATCTTATAAATTCTACAGATTTAGATTAAAAAACATTTATAGTAATGTGCCAGGTTCTATGCCATCTGCTTTCACATACTTCGTGTTAATAATTCAATCCATATTTTCTAAGTTTTTATTGCCTTGGGAGAATAGTGAGAGAGAAAATCAGAAAGAGGGAGACTGCTTCAGGCTGGCAACAGAGAGTGGATCATGGCTACTTTGGACTATATAAATTATACATACAGTTCCCTATTAGACCTGAGGTGGAAGCAGTGCCTTTGCCAGAAATAGCTATGTGGTATACATGACAACTGCCAACGTCAATGGACCATAAGGGCTTGCCCAGTTGGCTAGCAGTATCTTAATAGAAACTAATGAGGTAAAAAACAAAAACAAAACTGCAGTCTCAGATAGGATCCTTTCTGCATGTTTTGCTCTGGGTAAGACTCTCAGGTCTGTGCAGAAAAGTCTTAATAACGTTTGTTAAATCTTTTGCCACTCCGGCATTATGGGGATTAATTTCATTTAAACAAGGAAATATGGACATTTCTTGCAAATTCAAATTTGTGGTTGCAAATGTTTACTTCAACAGTAAGGTGAAAGTCTGTTAATGCAAAGTTCAACGCTTTTTCCTCCACATTAGCCAAACAGATTAAAAAAAAAAAAATCAATGGCCCTTCACAAATTTATGCCAATCTCCATTTTAATAACATTTATGGTCACGGGCAAATACTAAATCTCAAATTTAAGGAGTACTAGGCAAAATAATTAGAGTGGACTAAGCATAATGAACACAGAAGATACTTAATAAATCAGTGGTTCTCAGCCTTGAGTGTGCACAACAATCACAGGGAGTGTTTATTTGAAATGCAGTCTCCTGAAGTTCCTCCAGAGATATTTGGATTCAAAGAGGCAAGATGAGGCCTAGAAATCTGCATTTTAGTAACACCAAGTGCTTCTGATACTGTAGTCAATGGACACACAGTTGAACATCACGCAATACTCATTTGCCGATGGCATCAACATACAGCAGGTATGGGCTCCTTTGCACCTTCTTATAGTGTTACACGATGAGTAATAATGGAACAGCTTCTTTCCCTGCACTATTGCAGAAGTTTTGTTTCTTTAAAATATCTGAAGAGGATAGAAAAAAAAAACTCTACAAATTACAATTTTTCAGGGACTAGCCTTAATGTTTTGCCTCTCCCTAACATCCAAATGGAACATGTAATACAAGAGATAGTAAAATACAGGGGAGATTTTTAACCTAACCTATCTAATGTACTAAGAAGATAAATGTCAATAACATGATGATTAACCAGAAGCCTTAGATAAATTTGTTTTCCTCTCATCTAATTCATCTAAGTCTTCCACCTCCCACAAAGAAAACTTCCAGGCAATATCCTGTACTAATTTCCTACCTAGTCTACATCCTAAGCTCTGTATAGGGAAAAGAGACCCCCAAGATCATGATTATAGGACATTAAATACTAAAACACTAAAAACAGGACAGCAAACATTTACGGAGTGTCTGCCTCAGACTTTGCAAGGCATTGTCAAAAGAATGTACTGCTTTCATTTTAAGTTTAAAATGTAAATATTTTGCTACAACCAACATTTTTTTTCTTTTTATAAATATTTTTACCATGGGAGAACACAATCGCAGTTCCTCACTACCACAAATTATGCTGTTGAGCTTCCCTCATTTGGAAAAATCACAGGGGTCAGCACATCCAGAGTGCAATGGATAAGCCTTGCTTGGGAAATCCACCTTCGTGATCATGGTATATCCCCTACTCTGCTGGTCAGCATAACCAACATTTTATCTACAAATTAACTAAGCAAAGGCCACTTACCTGGTCACCACGCTTATACCAGTAACAGTGCATTTACATAGGTTTACAGTTTGCAAAGCACTTTACCGTTTTGTGGTGTCTTTATGTGTATTATTTCATCTGACCTTCAGAATTTTATTCAATACTCGCTCATCATTTAGGGAGCACCTGGCCTATGTCAAGTTCCCGAGTAATCAAGGTAAAGTCAGTGTCCCCAGGAACCCACAAACTAGCGGGAGGTCAGAACAAAAAAAGCAAGAAATTTAAACGCAGAATGGAGATGTCGGAAAAAAAAAAAAGCCTATAAGAAAAGGAAAACAATCTAGTCAGAGGAAGTGCCATCTAAACCAATACCCGCAGGAATTTCGCGAGGTACTTGGGAGCGACAGGAGCAGGGAAATATTCTCAGTTGAAGAAATGGCCTGTGCAAAGGTCCAGAGACAAAAGAAAACAAGCTGCAGATAATAAGGACTTGACTTCAGGTCTTCTACTTTCTCTTCGCCTCTTTCCGTACCAACTGGAAATTTAATCGACCGTGCGTTGCACGGACTTGGGAGCTGTACTCTTTTAGCTTTTTAATTTCCTTTTCGTGAATCATCTTAGTAGCGTCCGGCAACACTTTGAGGCTGCAGAAATCATGGCCCATACCAACTCGGGTTTCCGCCTACCTTGGGCGCTTCCCCAGCTCCTAGCGGCACCACACCTGCATCCCTCAGGTCAGCCCCAACATCACGCCCGAGCGCCGCCATCTTGCAGCTCACGTGACTTGCAGATGGGCGGGGACCCCGAACGCCCTGGGCGGGAAGTGGTCTTACGGCTCACACCTCCCACTGGCAGCCCAGCCCCGCCCCCACTCAGTCAAATGCCGCGCCCTCCATCCTGGCTGTGACTGGACGTGACGTCCAGACGTTACGGCCACTCATTGGCTTCGACAAGGTCCGGACGCCTGTGGGCCCGCCCCCCACCAGCCCATTATTTCCTCCCCCTGCTATTTGTCAACCTAGCTCCGTCTTCTCCTCTCGTCCTGAGGGGAACATGCGGCGGCCCGAGCGTAGGAATGTTGTTGCGCGCTTGCCTCTTCTCAGGGCAGTTTCGTTAGTTGGGGACTAGCTACTCGTCCCTTTCACTCCTTGAGGGCGCTCACCGCTTTGACCTGGCCCTTGTGTTTGTGTTAAGGCTGCGCTTCTCGGGCACCTCCTCCTCAGAGCCCCCAGTCGGCCGCCTAGCGCTGTTAGAGCAGCCCTGACTAGCCTCCTCCCCTCGCAGCTGTCTGACTCTCTCTAGTCTTTAGTCCTCTCAGATTTCATTCTTTCGCCCCGCTTGGAAAGCAACTGGAGAAAAATTTGCCCCTTGTGCCCCGAGAAGACCCGCTTGTCAGCCAGTTTTTCAGGGTGGGAGGCACTGCGAGGAGGCCCGGCACTGTTTTGTGCACGTTAAATGCCCAGCAGTATCTCCCAGACCGGCACCCCCCGACCCTCCAGTCTCCATGTCTTAGAGAAGCCAAATTCGAGAGTTATATAATTTTTTGTGCTGCTGTTTCTCCTGCCTGAGGAAACATTTCATCGCGTGGAGGGTGCAGGACATTACAGTGCTCTTCTGTAAAAGAACGGGGTGTGGGCAGGGGTGGCCAGCGGTGGCAGAGAAATGTGTCTTTTCTGCAAAAGGAAGGTGGGTAGTTTGAAGCGAGATTGAGAGAAAGGGTGGATGTGAAAGCCAAGCAGCTGCCACTGTCACATTTAGAAAATCACGGACTATTTGCATAGCTTATGCTTACATGTCTAATACTACTACAGCGTCTCTGAAAACACCTTTGGGGGAAGGTTTGACTTCTCCTCTCGAACAGTCTCCGTGTTTTTCCTCGCTGGATAGGGAGCTGCTTGGATGCGAAGAGATGGCATGATGTGAATGACTCCAGTGTGAAGAAATCCGCTTCGCCAACTCATCCTGCATCAAGTGCCCATTGAGTAGCACTGTCACTTTAATGTCTCCATGCCAAGGGATTGCTTTCCTTTTTTCAATCCTCTCAGTTAATACATGGGAGGATCACAGTCAGAGGGGCATTAAGGATCAAGCCTGGGGGGCTTGGAGAGCACAGAAGAAAATAAATGACAGCAAGCTGGCTCCTGTCTTACTGAGGGGGTGAGATCTGGAACTTCTGATCCAGTAAATAGAAGGGGGGCTTTCAGTCTGTGTTCTGCCCCAGAAAACTGTTCAAACTCACCCAGAGTCAAAGAGGTTTTTAACAGTATTTTTTTGCGGGGGGGGGGGGAGGAATTAAATTTTTTCTCTGAAGAATTGAGAGAAAAATTATCATCATCCAGTTCATCTTTGAATTTGGTCATGTATAAAGTAATGAGACAGCTGTCTGAATTTGGTTTGTGCCTTAATTGAGTTAGTCACTGAACTTCCAAAAATGTTGCTGCCTGAAGAGGAGTTTTAATAACGTTTTCTATGCTTACAATAATTTTCTCAGCTTTTTAAAACAGATAAATATTTTATAAAAATTGAAAAACTTGAAAAACTCAAAAGTTATTTTTCTCTAAACTCTGTGGGCAGTGTAAAAAGTTTAGTTGTGGAAAAAATACATCATTATTTTCTTTATCTGAAATAGAAGACTCAGCTTGGATTTCAAAACTGAACAGTGAAGTGGTTTGCAACAGTTACCTGGCTCTTGGCCTCAATCCAGCTGGATCAAAGTGAGACCTGAGAAGAGATCTTGATCCTGTGGCAGTGGAAAGACCCAAGAATGCCAGTCAAGAAGAAAGGTGGGCTATGAGGTTCCTATATAATATATTTCTCCTTTTTCTGGGTTTTGATATTTGTGATTTAAATTGTATTCCATTTGAGAATAGAATTTTGCTTCACTTTGGGGGAAATATTAATGGTAATAATATCTTTTCAGTGGTACATCATTCAGTAATATTTTGCTAAAGTAAAATGAAGTAGACTATAGTATTTGATTATAGACATTTGCAATTTCATAAATTAGATTGTTTATATATCACCATTTGTAATAAGGATAGAGTACCACAGATTTGGGATTTCCCTTAGCTTGTTTTCTTAGCTTTTTAAAGGTTACTTTTAAACAATCTTTAAAAAAAAGAAACTTGTGGCCGGGCGCGGTGGCTCACGCCTGTAATCCTAGCTCTCTGGGAGGCCGAGGCGGGCGGATTGTTTGAGCTCAGGAGTTCGAGACCAGCCTGACCAAGAGCGAGACCCCCGTCTCTACTAAAATTAGAAAGAAATTAATCGGACAACTAAAAATATATAGAAAAAATTAGCCGGGCATGGTGGCGCATGCCTGTAGTCCCAGCTACTTGGGAGTCTGAGACAGAAGGATCGCTTGAGCCCAGGAGTTTGAGGTTGCTGTGAGCTAGGCCGACGCCACGGCACTCACTCTAGCCAGGGCAACAGAGTGAGATTCTGTCTCAAAAAAAAAAAAAAAAAAAGAAACTTGTACAGTAGAGCTCTTCTCCATGGACTTAATATTTATCAAAATAATTATATATTTGTGAAAGATAGCAATGTAATTTTGTTTGCACCAAACAAAATTATAGCTTTATAATTTATCTTTTGATTAAAAAGATTTTATATTTGGATTTATTCTAGTGTGAATCTTCACTTTTGTGATAAAACACAACTTTGGTAACTGTTATGCTTTTCCAGATACATGCATTATCCAACAACATGATTAGCAAGTTCCCCAAATGAGACAAACAGCTGCTTTTTTTCTCCTCAACTTTTATTATTGGAATTAATCAAGATCCAGTGTGTTCCTGAAGCATAGTTATAGGTCATTCGTTGGGGATTCAATTTAGCCTAGATCTACCCTCTGTTAACTTTGTTCCAAAGGATCCTAGTGAAACCAGTTTGATGTTTTTTATTTTTGTTTTTGACATGATATGGAAGATGAAATGAACTATAAAGAGTTTCTCAATTGTTTCGAATCAAAATTTATACAAACACTCTTGCACTCTCCTAGGCTAACATAGATCTTTCCCCTCTTGTTCCTCATAATATCACTGAGAGAAGTAAACTCTCTATGAGATTTTGGAGCCACACACTTGTCCAGACCTGACATGGTTGGTTTATCTAGAACAAAGATGGTTTTGGGAATGTAACCAATAAATGATATGGCTCTCTGACTTATTTAACTTCATGTGTTCATGTGTGTTTTTATTCTTTCTACCACTTCTCTAGACAGTTCCTATTGGACTGTCTTATTTTAGACTAATTAGGGAATTAAATACATTTTGTATATGTGTATGTGTGAGAGAGAGAGAGAGAGAAGAGAAAAAAGAAGGGAGAGGGAGCAAGAATGGGAAGGGAGAGAGAGAAGGAAGAGAGGGAGGAGAGAGAAAGGGATAAAAATATATGTGGGAAGGAGGAGGAGGAAGTGCAGTTGGTGTTATAGGTATAACTTAACTAAGCAGGGTGAATTTAAGGTTTCTAAACCCAATATACTGAGTTTCTTTACCTTTAAAGAACTGTTACAGAAATTGCTGATACATTATTGAAAATTATAATACTTTATAAGAAAATATTATAGAGGCTTCCTGTCTTTTCTTTTCCTCTTTTTCTTCTCCCGCCCTCCCTCCGTCTCTTCCTTCCTTCTTTAACAATGAATTGATGTAATGGATCAAATTTTTAAAGGAATCAACAAGTTCTAATTAGCAAAACAAATATATATTTGTATGACACTAAAGTATATGCATTATGTAATTTTCCTTATAAACTGATCTAGTTAGAGAAATAATTTTTGTTGCTTTTAACTCTCTTAAAACTGGTAGTATTAAGATATGTCTTTTTGAATATTATAAACTAGCCAAAAGCTATTACATGTGCATTATATTTTTAATTGGCTAAGTCTATCTCTACTGTTTATATAATATAATAAAGATATTTTAAAGTTTAACCTAGGTTTATTCTGTAGGGAGCACTGTCCTTCATCATCTTGAGTCTTTTTCTTTCTTCATTGTTAAATGTGATAGATGTGATGAAAGAGCTAGACTTTATGTGATTTTAAACAATATCCCCATTGACCCAAGTGTTTATTCATTGTTGAGTTTGTTATTAAAATATGAAATTTTCATAAGACAGATTTTTATTTGGTGTTTATTTAGTATATTGTTATCAAAGTAGAGAGGAGATTCTCTCACTGATGACATACAACCATGGTAGAAAGTGGGAATGGGTGTGAACTCTCACTAAGCCCGTTTCTAGGTTCTATTCTAGTCTGCTCTGGATAAGCTGAAACTGCAGTACCTCAAATCCCCATATTCACTGCTTTTTTTGCTTTATTATATTGCTTCCTAACTCTCCCACTCCAGTCTCTTCACATTTTTATACATCTCAGTTTTATCAACAGAAGCCTCTTCTGTTTCTCTGTTAGAGTTTTTTTTCCCTCACCAGTTGTTTTTCATTCAGGATTCTCTCATCTGCCCTAGTAACTTGATTTCCTTCCAACTGAGCCCTTAGGACAATCTTTGACATATTTTAATTTGTGAAAATTTAGAACCGATCCAAGATAAATTGTATTCTATGATATGATGCAAGATAATAGTGTGTTGTACAGGTCTATTTCAATGTCTTCTTGAATTGATCTGATATGATTTCATGTTGGGTTAACGTAAGAAATAAAAGTTAATGGTAGTTGTGTCTCTCTCTGCATTTTCAGCGGAAAGTTGCTGATGGTTTTTTTTTTTTTTGGCAGAGTCTCTGTCACCCTGGGTAAAGTGCAGTGGTGTCATTGTAGCTCACTGCAATGTCAAACTCCTGGGCTCAAGTGATCCTCCTGCCTCAGCCTCCCCAGTAGCTGAGACTACAGATATGTGCAACACCACACCCAGCTACTTTTTTTCTATTTTTGGTAGAGACTGGGTCTTGCTCTTGCTCAGGCTGGTCTTGAGCTCCTGAGCTCAAGTGATCCTTCCACCTCAGCCTCCCAGAGTGCTAGGATTATAGGTGTGAGTCACCCCACCCAGCCAGAAAGTTGCTGTTTTAAGGGTAAAGTTTACTTCAAAATTTTTTAGTACATGGAGTTTTCTTTTTTGAACAGATTTTGTTCTCCTAATTGTAATTAAATATTTGAAAGAAATCAATGCCTTTGCTACTTTGAGATACTCATTTTTGTATTTTTAAAAAAATTATTCTATTATCTTCAGAGCTTCTTTTAAACTGGTATAGAAGTCTATTTGATGTTATTCATTTAGATGACACTTTGTTTCCTTTGAATTCATTGTTGCAACTGTTCTCAGACATGTAATCAAAGGATGTATAAACAGATTTTACTGTGTACTAAAAGTTAAATACTATATTTTTCATAGTTAAATGTTTTGACATTGTATCTTAAAGGGAAGCTGAAGAATGTTGCATAATTAGAATTATGAGATATGATATTGCCATATGTCTCATAGGTACCCTTGATATTGAGATTATTGCCTCCTGTGGTCACAGTCTTAATTAATGTCTTTGCTTTTGGTTGGATCTATACTTCATAAAAGTGACATTTCTGTTTTTCTTTCTTCTCTCTGGGAAAAGGACCTTAGAACTCTTCTGTTCTTTCCTCATTTAAAGTTTTCTTCTTACATTATTTGTTTCCTGCACTTTGTGGCTTAATTTTTTTTCACTAATTTACATTTGACTTTCCTTATCTGGGCATACTCTCTTTCTATCTCTAGCTTTCCTTAAGTTCTTGAAATAATTTTTTTCAGAATCATTAAAAGGGAAAATACGTGCAGGCATACCTCAGATATAGTGTGGATTAGGTTCCAGACCACTGCAATGAAGCAAATATCTCAATAATGTAAGTCACACAAATGTTTTGGTTTCCTAGTGAATATAAAAGTTATGTTTACATTATACTGTAGTCTACTAAGTTTGTAATAGCATTATGTCTAAAAAGTGTAAATTCCTTAAGGAATATTTTATTGCTAAAAAATGCTAATAATCATCTGAACGTTCAGCAAGTTGTAATCTTTTTGCTGATGAAGGGTCTTGCCTCAGTGTTGATGGCTGCTGACTGATAAGGGTGGTGGTTGCTGAAGGTTAGAGTAGCTGAGTCAATTTCTTAAAGTAAGACAACAATGAAGTTTGCCCCGTCAATTGACTCTTCCTTTCACAAAAGATTTCTTTGTAGCATGTGATGCTGTTTGATTGCATTATACCAGTAGAACCTCTTTCAAAATTGAAGTCAGTTCTCTCAAACCCTGCTACTGGTTTATCAACTAAGTTTATGTAATATTCTAAATATTTGGTTGTCGTTTCAACAATGTTCACAGCATCTTCACCAGGAATAGATTCCATCTCAAGAAGCCATTTTCTTTGCTTATCCGTAAGAAGCAACTCCTCATCCATTCCTGTTTTATCCTGAGGTTGTAGCAATTCAGTCACATCTACTTCTAATTCTAGTTTTTATGCTATTTCTACCCCATCTGCAGTTACTTCCTCCATGGAAGACTTGAATCCCTCAATGTCATCTATGAGGATTGAAATAAACTTCTTCTAAACTTCTGTTAATATTGATATTTTGACCTCCCACGAATCATGGATGTTCTTGATGGCATGTAGAATGATGAATCCTTTCCAGAAGGTTTTCAATTTACTTTGCTTAGCTCTATCAGAGGAATCACTATGTACGGCATGATAACTTTACAAAGTCTATTTGTTACATAGTAAGACTTAAAAGGTGAAATTCCTCCTCGATCTGTGGGCTGCAGAATGGATGTTATGTTAGCAGGCATGAAAAAAACATTAATCTCTTTGTACATCTGCATCA